CAATCAGAAGACCAAGCAAACACAGCGTAAATAACGGTTGCTCTGCGGCAGGCGTGCGGCTCGCATTATAGCAAGACAATCGTTGCGATTGCAATAGAAAATTAACGGTTGACTTTATAAATATAAACTTTTAATAGTTTTATTATAAAGAGATACAGAATAGGATTTTGTATCCACAAAAATATGTATGTATAGTCAGAGAATAATTATAACTAATAAATATCTTATGAATTATAGTATTACCTGTAAAAAAATAATAAACGCGTTCTCTGACGAAACACAATTAAGGATGCATGAATTCTTGCCACGTAATTAAATTTCATTAATAATGATTTTATATTTAAATCTTGCTAAATTCCACAAAAATACGGAAATGCCCTTGATTGCCACATAAAACAGATTTTACCTATCCTCTAAAAAGAATATTAGCTCTCCGGTAGAACTTTTAAGACTGTTGCGTCGATCAAATATGTGATATTGGAAATTTCTTTGGATTGGATTGGAAAATCAATAGTTTCGAATCTATAATTTACCAATTAAATGTGAGATCTAATGCATCTATTAACAAGGAAACCAGCTGACGTGTCTCCCTCCGATATTGATAAGCTCTTAATGTGTTGTTAGTTTAGGCAAAAATATAGGGACCGCGTTCTATCTTATAAGACTCGAAAAAATTTTTGAACAGTTCCGGCAGTTCTGTTCAGAGTTCCCGGTAGCCCCCGCAGAGTTCTATCGAAAATCCTAATTGCAAAATTCCATTACATTAATACTTTTATAGTTATGCCTATTTCTGGGGTACTGTTTCTTGATTCTTCAACTTCGTTTTTTTTACTTTCTCGTGCAGAACTGTTGTTAAAATGTATCAAGAACTCTAGAACCATGCGAAATCTATCCAGAACTCCATTAAAAAATTAGTTTTTACGAAAATGGGGGGCTGCGTGAAGTTAGCCCCCATTTAAAAAAATTCATTTTAACGTCTTTAATGGGCAGAACTATTTCTTATACCCATCAAGAACTCTGGAACTATTGTAAATGGAACTCGTAAAAAAAGTTAAAATTTTAAATAAAGGGGGACTAACTTCACAGGGGTCTGTGAGAGAAAAACGCGGTTATTTGTGCGTGTCAATATCACATAATTATTCAAGTACAATTACAAGTCCAGATTTGTTGACTTATATTGAAATGATTGCGAAATCATGTACATCATTATACCATAAAACGCCTATTATTTTTCTAAAATTTTTAGACTGCCTCTTCTTTAAACGTTTTCAAATAATAAATTATAGATATAAAAATACATAAAACATACGTAACAATTTACATTTATTATTATACAATACTTAGGCAGGTATTCATAGTGAAATCTTATGTTCAAGACTGTCTTGAATTTATCTAAAGATGTTGTATGGAACATTTCATTGGCTACGGAGTATCTAAAGATGATCGTAAGGCTGATGGCAGACAACTATCCGTAAGCGCTTAAGACTGGCGTAGCCGTAAACTTAAGGTAAGGCAGAGAAAAACGTAAGCCGTGGAACACGTGTTCCTTTTCTCTGCCTTACCTTAAGTCTACGACTACGTCAGTCTTAAGCGCTTACGGATGGTTGTCTGCCATCAGCCTAAGACGGTCTTGAATATAAGATCTAACTATGAATACCGTTCTTCAATTGATATAAAAAATTTATTATCATACCAGTCGAAAGTTGAAAACAGAATTTTAACAAAACCAAAGCAAAATTATCGCCACAGTCCTCGATATATTCTACAATATTTCTTTTATTTACAATGAAGTTATTCAATTTTCTTTTCAAAGCGCGTGCACGAACTTCGAGTTTTTAACTTTAATAAAAATCATAACAGAAAAAGACAAATCTTTTAAGAATGTAATTTTTATAACATTGCTTGAAATTTAGAACTCCAAACTCTCGGTCTTTTCTCCCAATTACGTAAACGATAAGCGATAAAAGTGTTGGCATATCGTTCGTTCAATGACCTAGACTCATTCGATGTTTTATTTTGATTCAATCGATAACGCTGAATCGCAGAAATTGTATCAGCAAGAATGTCGATCGTTTGGTTTCAATCGTATTGTGTATTGTGCTGACAAATTGTAATTTTCATTGCTGCATCATTGTAGTACAAGCGAATTATCTTCTTACGATACCAACTTCCAACATACCGAGCTCTGCATTGACCAGTGCTCAGCAGGTCCTTGACTGCTGAAGTTCTTCGCAAGATTCTCCGCGACCGTGCCTGACACACATTTGGTTGTCCACTAACAAACAAATATTCTTACATCGTCCATACAGTGGTCATCCTTGCCCGATATCGTGAATATTGCATTAGATATTTTAGATTTTTCTTACATTATACAATTTTAATAACAATAAAAGTACATTAAATGACTATCTTGAAACATTTTTCCTTTATTAAAACATTATTATTAAGTTTTATGAAGAAATACAATTACTTGAGTAACTTTAAGATAAATAGTAGAATATTAATCAATTTATACAGTAAACAAGATAATCGCAAAGTGAAATCCCTTAAAAATTGGTTCAACCAAATCAACTTACAATTTACAACTTCAATAATTAATTTATAATTTTAATACAATTTTAAAACTGATAAAATATGGCTTTACAGCATATAGTTTTTCGATCGAAAAAATATCTTAAACAAAAAAAATTTATCAAAGATATAATATGATTTCTTCACTGTTAGAGTATGCCAGTAAGAGAGTTTCTTTGTTCGTCGAAACGTTACATGTTGAAATCGCTACTTGTCTAATTTACACTAACTTCCTGATCATTCGCCCGAAGGAAGATTGCGCCAGGTGCTTAATTGCGTATGTTAGAAATTACAAATAACTAAAGAATGTATTACTGTGCAACAAAATAACTAAGAACAAAGCAAGCGACGGGTAGTTTAGGGCCATCTTTGATGTAATGTTTGGAAAGTTTATATATGTACGTACATTGCTAAATCGGAAAGTTTAAGAAATACATACTATAATAAAAATTACTGACGTTTGTATAAACATTTTAGAATTTTTTTTAACAAATAGAGTTAAATATTTTTTAATTTACTGTATTTTCTTATCTGAAGAATATATAAACTTACAACATAATCTTACAATAAACATTTCCGTTCAAATCATGAACGTAAAAGATTAAGGAGCAGTAAATAAGTTTTCTTGATTTTTATAAAATATTATAACTATATTTTTTAAACAAACAACGCAATGATCCAATTACAAATTCAAGCCATAACGTAGAGTTCATATTTCCTTAATGGCATTTAACGTCAATGCTGATAAAATCTAAACTTAAACAAAGGAAGAATGTGAAAGATATGCAAGAAATATTTGAAAGGTATTTAAACAATTAAATCGTTTCGATATCTTCATAAAATCCGTCACAGACTTATGATATTCGAGAAAAACGTTACGCAACTTTAAATGAAACCCTGATAGTTATTCATGGAACAATCTTATTTGCAAAAATACTTTTTATTTGTCTATGCCTTATCGTCTTATAAACTTTCCAAAAGAAATTAATAATATTAGTATTAAATTCGCGATATAATTTGAGTGTGAAACTACTAGTTCGATGCGCTGTACGAGTCATATTAAAGCCAAATTCATTAACTTTGTATGTGAAGCAAGCTGACCTTGGTATATTTCTAAATAAATATTATATATTCGCGAATCATGATACCTGATTATGTCAACTGAACTTTGTTAAAATGGTATGATTTGTCCCCATACGGTGTTGATGGCCTAAAGTAATTGCGAATTTTAAAAGAAACTGATGAACAAACGAACGGACTTTTAAGCCGAGTCCAGAGACTAATAATTAATCCTGTAGCCTCCTATATGCTGACAATCACGGGAATATCAAGGTCCCCTCTTGAGTTTTTAAATGTAACTGCGCAATAAATCATTTGGGACTTACGTCACTCGACTTTAAGAGGGGCAAAGACGGCAAAGTAATGAAGAGTCCAAAGAAATTAAATTTGGCATTCGACGCCAATTGCTTCAGCCGAATATGATTTACTAGCATTCCCCGCGGCTTCGCTCGCGGGCTTTTGCGTGACACACACACACACACACACACGCACACGCACACGCACACGCACACGCACACGCATACGCACACGCACACGCACACGCACACACACACACACCCCATATATACATAGTGTTTAATAAAAATCTCACCAATATCGAAATAGTGCTAAATTGGTTTAAACTTAGATATTAAATTTATTTGCTGCGTTTCAAAATTCGCAATAGTTATCGAGTAATTAATTTATACATCTAAGCGAATGAGAACGTATAATACGGTACACCGTTCTTCGAAACCATGTAATATTATCGATTGATTTGCTTTAGCCGTAGCCACGCGCGAAATACAACGCTTTTAGTAAAAACACTGATCTCGTTCGGTTGCGCGGAACGGGCGGCGAACGTTGCGGCCAGCGCGAGCGACGGGCGACCCGAGACATAAACATATTTCCCTCAAAAATTATTTATTCTCCTTTTTTCTTTAAATTTTTTTCTATTTCATGAAAATGAGGCGCTATCATTTCCTTATCACCTTGCGGTAGATAGCATGGTGCGTTTTTTTTTATAGTGGTTTCCCCAGTATGCCTAATCCACTCTTATAATTCAATGCCTAAATTGTTCGCCTTCTGCGCTCTCATTCGCTCATACATTAAAATTAATTTCTTGATAACTATTGCGAATTTTGTTATATGTTATATGACTTTTCTATTCAGTTTGCCTTGCTTTATTTACCCTCTATGGGACACCCGGCAATTTAAAGCTATTTATGTTTTTCAAAAATTTTCGAAAAAGAATAAAACATTGTTTTATTTATTTTTGCTTTAATCAATGAAATATATGGTGTGTAGTCTATTTATACATGTTATTCCACAATTTTTGTTAGAATAAAGTGTGTGTGTGCGTGTGTGTGTGTGTGTGCGTGTGCATGCGCGTGTGTGTTTCTCTTTGCCGATAAAATAAAGTATGTGTGCGTATGCGTGTGCGCGCGCAAGTGTTTGTGTGTGTCCAAAATAATATTAATTTTTTTGTGATCATTTGCGCATGCGCAAATGTATTCAATGCGCAGTCCACAGGTACGCAATGTCTATAATAGGGCCATTTGCGCATGCGCAGTCCGCAGTGTGTGATCATTTGCGCATGCGCAGTCCCCAGGTGCGCAATGTCTATAATATATAGCCTAAGACACTCTCGAGATAATAAGGAAACATGTGTTAAAATTTCAATTCAATCGGTCCATTGGTTGTTACCGGACACAAACAATCAAACTGACAAACTCTGTCTCTTTATAATAGTAGTATAGATAACGCTTGTGTATTTTAGGAATAACGGAAGGGCGAAAAGAGGGATTCCGTGATACCTCAAAATTACGTTAATTACTAAAATTAAGTAGTCTTTTTAGACTATTTAAGTATAGAAACAATTATGTAGAATGCAACACGATGCATACGCTACACGCGCAATTCGTTTTTTTATTCATGGCACATCTTTTTTTTCTTCTTTTCGATACAAAATTTATGTTCCCTCAAAACAGACTTGGTTCCATTTTACAAGGACCTATTACAAAACAAATGTTACAAATAAAGATTTACTTATTGAAGCAAAACCATTTTACTTAATGACAGATACTTAATGACAGATTAGACAAGAAGTAAATTTTTTATTCTCGTGAGACGTGAAATTTATTACATTCTCTGCATTTACGCGGGCGAAGAACAAATTACATCCGCATTTCTTTTTATTATCGAAAACCGAACCTCTATCTTCACCGGAGGCGCAGCGGAGTTTGAACCGGCACGCGACCTTGGCCCAAGGATCTCTTGCCCGTGATCCGACACCGTCAAGAAGACACCTTCCCACTTCCCCTCGAACGGCCACCTGAGTGAAGCGACCTTGACTGAGCGCGGCGTGGAGTTTGCAGACGATCACCTAAGGCCCGCGGTGCAGCCCCTCTCACGCGCGCGCTTGGACCCCACTTGGGTTAACCAATACTTAAACTGTGGGACCACCGCGCGGCGGACTATTCTCGCAGCATCGGCCGTTGGACCCGTAAGCTCACGTACGCACGCCCTCACTGCACGCGCGTACACGCGTCGTACACGTTGGATACGCGAGCGACGCGATACCTATCGCCCACGGGACCGATTGTAATACTTGGTGTACGACTCATGCGTATGCGACATCGCGGGGACATATGTAGCATTCACACGCAAATGTGCCTCGCTGATCCTGACCCCGCGAGAGAAGGATCGCGTGCACCGTGACGAAAGCCTCCCTTCGAAGTCATCGCAACTCTTCACCTCCCGAAAGAAAGAGGGACTCACTCGTGATCGGTATTCCGTCCAGTGGTCCTGCTGATCGACGACGGCGTCCAGCGACCTGGACGCTGGTATAGGGAAGGATAGTGCGAAGAGTCAGTGGGCGGAATTTCGGATGCTTCGTCTGATGGGTGGCTCGGCTTGATGCTGCGCTGAATCACGCAGGAATCTGTGATTTCGGTGACAAAGTAGCTGTGGGCGCAAGAGTGGTGAAGTGCACAGTGCCAGCCAGTTGATCTGGGCAGAGAACGAGCGGAAGGTAAGCGCATTTCGAAAACTTCGGGATGGAGAGCGGAACGTTCCACCGAGCGCAAATGGTCGCGGGAGAGGAGGCCGGAAAGCGACCCAAAATGAATTTTCGCGGCGAGAAATCGGACCGACTCCTTAAACGGACCAACGCACGAGAACCGTAAAAACCTGCACTGTGAAAAACCTCATGTGTACGCGAATTGTATCTCTGTGTTAATCCTTCAAGAAAGATTATATTACTGTGAGGTAAAAGATGAGATCAGCTTAACCGAGTAATTTATGCAAGACTACTCCGTAGTATGAGAGAAATGACAAACGATGAATTTTTTATCAGGAAAACACGCGCATTTTTTCCCCGTTTCACGCCTTTCTCTCGAATAACGAAAATATTCTACCGTTATCCATATAGTACGAGTTAATCGTTCGACTACTCACACGCCAAATACTTGAAGTAGTAAAGCAATACGCTAGTGTCCTACAAAGAAAGGGTTAGGTATAAGGATCAAGGCTAAAAATAAAATTTTCAGCTGGCAATATTATAAGAAAATTCTAAAGTATTTTTATATTGCAATTCTGCTAAATAAATACGATGAAATTGTATCTTGTATATTAATTCTATTTGTTAATATGCAAAGAAAAACACATTTGGATATTGCCAGTATTCTTAGCTCTAGCCGCGTGTATTCTTCTTACGATCGCAAGGACTTAAAAATAGGTTTTAATTAATTTATTAATATTAATTAATCATATTATTAATATTTATATATTAAAAAATTTCCATTTTGTAATATTAATTTGTGAAAATCTACTTGTTAATTCTCAGTTATTAATGCATATAATGTGTGAATGCACTTATCAATAATTTTAAAATAATTAAAGTAATCATATTGCCAGTTGAATCAACGAGAAGCTTTGTTTCAATTTTAAAATATTTTATACTTTTTTAAATACGTGTGTGTGTGTGTGCATAAGTGCAATATAAGCTACTGCTAACTTATGTTCTTTCGTATGCAAAATAATTAATTTAATATAAAATTTAAATTATTCTGTTGGAGATTTCTATTAATATAAACTTTTCGTGATAATAATTCCGAATTTATTATTTAAATAAAATTTTACTGGCGTCAATAAAGCGAGATAAATGGATTTTTCAATATAATCGCATTATGCGATATGTTCATGATAACATAAAGATTTTCGAAAAAAAGCACATTTAATTATAATACTTTCGACCTCAATTTCTACCACCGAAAGTGTGTCTTTGGTTCTGTAAAATCGTTTTGCGAAACTTTATCGTGTGCAACATTGTTGCAGTATTTATAATATTGCGCAACAAGATGCACGTTCACAATTTTTAGCACATTCTCAGCAATTTTTAAAAGAAACATGAACGTATTATAATAAAAAACATTTACTTGTTAAGCTTTTCGAGCAAGCTTTAATTTAATTGATTTTCCTCGAAATCAGTTGCTAAATTTATTTGCGCATTCTTCAATTAATTTTGTACGAATAATATTAAAGACTGAAAGATGTGATAGACACTAAAAATATATAACTCTTGAAAGATTTGTTTAAAAAAATATTAAGTTATAAATTAACGCGTGGCAAATCGAGTAATTTGTTAGCCTATATAACATTCAAGGTGCGAACTTCTGGAAAGTAACGATTCACCTGCAAGTACATTTTACAATGTAGACATTGTGCCGCAAGGCACGTCCGTACAATCGTTGTTCGCGCAGTAGAAACGTTGCAGTTGCCTTAATTCAAAACGTCTAGCCCTGCCATTGATGCCTACATGTGCTTCGGCAGACATGACAGGAAGGAGAAGATTCGACTCTTTCTTCGACACTAGACCGTAGAAACTTCGCTCACCTGCTAGAAATTATCTCGACTGACTGTGTGTACCCGCGCGTTCGCATTGCATGGTCAAGTACCTACCTTAATATAACCCCCACGTACGCGTCCAAGCACGTGAAATACGTCACATTACACAACTGCTCGAAGCATGCTGTAATATTCGGCACAAGGTCGCTGGACCGTTTTGCGAGCGAGTTTCTTCGGCGTGATGTGATTTCGCATATTCGATGGAAAACGAAGTCTGCCTTTTCGACATTAAGTCAAAGACGCGTTAAGCGTCGTACGTAAGCGAAAAATTCGACAAGTTTTTCCTGCGGCAGAAACTCGCGTATAATTTCTCAAACCTAATTTAAAATAAAAATATAGGAAGAGTATCATTTCCGTATGTAATTTTCGCGATTTAAGTCCAAAATAACGTGTCTGGAAACAATGAAATAACGATACGAATTGAAATCGGTTATTCGATTAGATAACAAATGTATAATTATCTGCTGAATCCAAGTAATAATTAATAGCACACTAGCCAACAGGAATCATTAATATGTTCGCGTAATTAACAATTATGTACCGTAAAACAGATGAAAAAGAGTGAAACGCCACGAGAGAAAGTTTAAAAACGTATAAACTGATGCACATCGATATTGATTTGGCAGTTACTGACGGACTGAAATAATTTGAGATTATCATTTTGCAATGCGTGACAATGCGTGTCGTGTAAGCGAACGTTCACGTAACTCGTACTAGCGGATATTGGCAAATTTCCGACGCTCCTCGCACACATTTCGTACTCGAGACTTGTGTTTCGCGGTGATAACACAGCTTCCGCTTTAAATTAGGAACAATCGACTCAACTGCGACTACAAGTGAATAGCATAATGTAATTGTTGATAATACTAGCCGAAGACGCATAGTAAATATCAATTTGTTCCGCAAGAATCAAAACCTGCTTTGTTTGCATTTTTCCCTCGTTTTGCTAGACCTATGATTATTACTTGGATTACTGTTATCCCTCTTCGACAAATCCTTCGTCTCTTTATAATAAATTTAAACCAAGAAATATTATAAGATGCCTTTCGCACAAAATACTATAATGTGGTGTTCTTTTATTCATTAGTGCTTAAACGGAAAGTCACGCCCGCTAAAATGCAGCTATTTGAATTTTTCAGGCATTCAATATGAAGAATATTTTATATCATTACGATGGGTATAATTGTTACAGTTTCTATAATTGTATAAAATTTTGGCAAACAGCAGATCGCCGCAGTATAATATTTGAACGCATCTGCTCGTTAGCCTGAACAGAATTCTGGTGATTTTAATGCCTTGTTAGATCTCAGATGAATAGATAGACGATAAAGTAACCGTCCGTAATTAAATTCTTCAACATCGTTATCTTCCACCGGGATGAATAATTATCATAACGCAGAAAGTGAATAAAGAAGTACATTTTGCGTTTACATGAGAGATTAGCGAACGTTTTCATGCGTGTGACACAATATGTGCAAAGCTTCGAAGATATTTTACTCTAGTCAAGGCTAAGATCTCTCCAACTGCATATAATGTCGAAAGAGCGGTAACGCGCCGTCGCTTTTATCCAAATCGAGGACATTAAAACACTTGAGAACTGCAAATAATTACTCTCGAGTTGTATTTCAGTGTAACGATAGGGCTTTCGCCTTACGTTATCGTTATCTAAGATGTATCCTTTTTGTGCATCTGTTGACAATGTTCGATCTATGCATTGATGTGCGTATGATTTCAACGGAATATCAGACATTCGATCAAATGATTTGTCAACAATATTTCGCTTGAATACACATGAATTACTTTCAAACTTGAAGCTCCGTTTAAGCAAGGACAAACTTTAAAGCGAATAAGATTTCTTTGTCTAACTTTGTATGTATTTGTCAGTAAGTTGTTTCTTTTGCTCTACATCCCTCTAAATCTAATTTGTTTTCCGGTCAGCTGTAAAAACACATCCTCTTCATAAATAGCGATGCAAGGTGGTCGGTGAGCTCTATGGGAGATCTTAATGTGGAAACAGTATTAGCCAAGAAAACGTGCTTTCACGTCGGGCAAAAAGCCGGGTGCAAGTTTTACGTTTCGCTAATCGGCGCGTCGATACCCGCGTAAAACGTTAAAGCGACGAATTGGAAAACTGCGGCGCGCCTTACAATTAAGTCCCCCAAAAGTGATGTCGGTAAAGAAAGTGGAACTACGACAGTGTACGATAAATAATTTAACGCGTCGATTACACCTAGCTTCATTCCGCGACCAAGGACAAAACCGTTCGGAGCGATTAACTCCGATCATAAATTTGGGGGGGGGGGGAAGGCAGGTGCACGATATCGCGAATCGCTTCGTTATCTACTTTCTTTGTGAAAAGAGAAATGTGTGCTGCGATTGCGGATCATCAGATTTTTTTTGCCTTTCCACCGAAGAGAAATGCTTTAACGCGGAAACTCGGAGAAAAATGTGGGGTATTGCAAGGAGGATCAAAACACGTGAGAAGTAAATGTGCATGCAAGTTTTTTTATTCAGGTCAACAGCATTTTATTCAAGTGCGAATAAACATTTTGTTCAAGTTAATGAACATTTTGCAACGGAACAGTAGCGTACAATTGTACACCGTGTGGCAATCCGGTGTTGTTTATGGTACGATACGATTTCGCCACACGGGTCGAAGTGAGAAACTCGCTCTATACGATTATCAGACCACTCGGGGTGACCGCGAAACCAGGATAAATATGATTAGCCTTCGGTGATAAATCTAATTGTCGTTTATCAAGCAATAAAATGTATCCTTTTCTTTCTCTTGCGCTCTCATTCGCTCCTCTAGTGACTCTCCCATAAATATTTTAGAGTTTATGACAATTATCAATCACACCGTTGGAAGACATTGCAATACATCCCAGTTGAACCATTATACTTCGAATGGCCCTAATCTTGGATTTGATCTTCCCACCGCGGAACGTTAAACGACAATATTACATATATATCTTATAGACTTCGATCTCTCACTTCTAAATTTACCTCTAATTTATTTGCTGTATCGTCATCCGTAAATCCGCGCGTCCATCTAGGCGTTTCTAAATAAATGCCGCCGTTACTCTGGCCGGACGGTGAAAACGGTTCTTCTTAAAAGTCGATACATTTCGATCACGCAAGAACAGGCTAGTAGCACAGAGAAATTAGCGAATAATACCTCCGTCCTTTTTGCCATGTAAGAAAAGAGTTACACGATGACGCTTAACGGATAAACCAAGAAAGAACCCGTTTCGTGATATAGGATGCTCATTTCCGGACCGCGCGGAATGATAGTGGAGGAAGAGCGACCGCCGCAGGGGAATCGATAGCGAACGGCAGTGAGAGTCGTTAAGCAGAGATGTTCAACTAGTGCCGTTAGACGGGCATCGAAGAAGAAGAAACGACACTTGGCACACATGTATCCGTAAATCGTATCCGAGGCAAAATAGCAGACCGCAATTTATCATAATTACACACAATGTACAATAATGTATGGTATTAATCAAAACGGCACTTTTTTTCTCTTTTACGACAGTTAATTAATTATAATGAGCGTAGCAAACGACTCCATAATGTCGCAATATCTCCGCGAAGAGGTAAAGTGCATTCTTTGAAAAGAAGAAAGTGGATTAGATTAACATATAAATCTCATCGATATTCAATAGAGCTCGTCAGAATTTATATTTCTCTTCTTGAAAATTAAGTGTACGGTGAAGAATGTCATCAGACGTGTGCCCGGCGAGTTGCAATAAGATTTTCAATGATTTATCAAGAATGGCAGAAAACCGTAAAAAAATCATAGATTAAGAAGATTATCGATTGC